GGGTAATAGCGACGGCACGGCGGACTGGCAGCTCTAAGGATGCGTTTATCTGCGCTGAGGATGTGCTAATTTTTTACTGAACAGAGCTTGCTGTGACCGCATACGCTGGCAATGAGAGGGCACCGAGAACATCAGCATCAACATCAAGAGGGTTCATCTATACCCCTGCGAGAGGGTCATTAAGAATTTAAGATTACTTGTGCTTATACAATACAGTCCATAGGCATAGGAACAGGCTTCTTTCTGCACTGCCTTTGTTTCACCTTAAATACATTAATATTCTTTACCGTGAGAACATATTTTAATACAAAAATGGCAAAATGGATTTTTATTCAAAATATTAATGTAGCATCCGAAGTATTTGCTACGTTCCATGTCGTTGTGCACTACATCTTACATGCCCTGAAAGTATGCAACACTCTTCTTTACTCAATAACGTAACGTTGTATTGTTACGTTATTAGGCCAACGATTCGCAGCAGCGAGCCTGTGACAGCAATCACAGCTTACCGATTTCTAGCTATCTGGCAGCATCAAGTGGCTGTATAAATGTAATTTTCTATATTCAAAAACTGTTTTAAATTTTAGTATTGGTATATTTAATATGGCGTCTTTTTGTGCGACTTTATCTTAGTTTTCAGCTTGCCACTGCTGTTGCTTATATTGCCAGTGGCATCCTGTGTCCAGACGGTGACAATTCCGCTCTCGCCGCCCGTCACCAGCAGCTGACGCTTGGCATCGAAGAGACTTTCCCGAACGATTTGCTTATTGCCCGCGAAGGTGGCCAATGGTTCGAGTTTTTCCTTCGATGGGATGCTCACAGAACGCAGGATTTCGCTGCAACGACAGTTATCACAAGAGGGACACACAGATTGAAGCGTTAGGACTCACCCGCGGTTGAAGTTGGTGCCGGCCAGAAGAAACACGCCATTGTCCTCCAGATTGTGTGCGTTTATCAGGTTGAAATTGCCGGCATTCTTGCGTCGAATGGCCGCAGTGACATCGGACCGCTCAAACGAAGCCACCTCGTCGCCCTCCTCGCACTCGTAGCTCTTGAAATCATTGGTATGGGTGATGCACGAGATGATGTCCTTGTCGTAGACATTACGGTGCCAGTTCAGGCGGTGCACACTGCTCTCCGTGTTGATGGTGTTCTGCAGGGCCTCGTCCTCGTCGGTCTGCTTGATGTCAAACACATTGATGAGGCCATCGGTGCCTCCGGTGCAGAGCAGATCCGGATTTCGATCGTGGAAGCGCACTGAGGTTACATCATCCTCGTGGCTCTCGTGGTAGCCGCCCAGCTGCTTGCGCTCCCTCACATCGAAAAACAGCAGGTGGACACTGCCGAGGTACTGCTCCGTGCCGCAGCAAATGATTCTGCCATTGGCATTCCGATCAAAGCAAGTCAGGGATTTGGGCACCTGTGGGAGGTGTGCCTCTGGATCGCTTTTGTACTCGAATCTGGCCTGCTCGCCAGTGGTGCGGAGGTCAAAGAGACGCACCACTCCATCGGTAGTGCCCACAAGCAGGGTGTCGGATCCCTCATCGAGGAACTGCACACCACAGGTGGCAGCGCCCGTGCCCTGCTTTTCCTTGGCGGGTACATCTTGAAGGGTTTTCAGTCCTCCGGCCGCCTCCAGATCGTAGATGTGAACGGCTGTGCTGGACAGACCGGCTGCTATCCGGGTGAATCTCTGGTCTGCACCGAGACTCAGAACATAGTCCCGCTTCAGCGACACCACCGATTCATCTTGCGGCTTGTACTGCAGCCGGAAATTGGCGGCAAGCTCTTTAACGCTACAGGTGTCCTCGTCCTCGATGTCTGCTTCGTCCTCTGAGCTGGGCAGGTCCTTAATGACCGCCTCTGTAATGCCAGGATAGTTAATAGTACTTGATTAGGTATATTTATCGCCTCACCTTCCAAATATTTGTCGAAATCAGTCATTTTTCTTTCTGTTGTGGTTTTCGTTCGCACGTGCGTTGGTTGCAGTTGATCTTAACCCACTAAAACCACCATTAAAAAACGTATGTTTAAACAGGGTAACATATTTCTCTGATTTTGATATTCGGTTTTGAATTACTAGTTAGCTAGAATCCTCAGCACTCAACAAATAATTTTATCCGATAAATTAATAAATGTTCTACAATAGTGGCTAATTTTAAATACTTCCTTTTATTGGATTGCTTATAAAACATGGGCTAAGCTAAAAAGGTCAACAAGAATTGTAACAAAATTAAATTTTGTACATGATAACACGGTACACGGCTATTCAAAACAAAACACCTTTAGGGGCGGATCAAATTATAAATTAATTTATTATAAAATGTAATTTAAAACAGCCCGTAAATACCGTTTAATATCGCAATGAAGTTTTATTTATACAAAGGTGAATTTTACAAGAAGCCATTCCAAGTGGGTGGTTGCCATGAGTAAATTTTGTAATATATAATCTAAATATTCTGTAATTTTTGCATTTTTGAAAAAGGTTTCGCTGAGGTTTCCTGATTGCTTTACTTGACTTGACTCGACCGTATGCTAGTATATCTATATGTATGTCTCTCTCTCTGTGTCTGTCTACCGACGCTCTTTATGTTCTGTAGGGTCATATAAATATATATATGTACAGGTAGATTGGATATATATATATATATTCATATAGCTTTTGTTTTATACTTTCATAACCAACAAAGTGTTTTAATTCCTGCGCACTTTCTTTAACACGAAGAACTCTTCAACAAGCAACTAAGTATTCAATAATTAGATATATGCAGGAAGGGGTAACTATATATATACTCGAATATCGCCTATTCACATAAAGTCATCGTAATCTTCAGAAAAATCATTTCCATACTTCTTGTAATCATCAATATCCTGCAAGAAAAAAAGGGTGATCAAATTAATGACATCGTCTTGGCAAATTGGGCGTGGAGTGAACCTACATCGCTCTCGCGAAGCGTTGCCTTTCCCTTGTTCTTGGCAGCGCCTTTCTTGGCATTGGCCTTCTCCATTTTGAGTTTTTCCGAGTGCAAGACTTCCACGCTCATCTTGACCTTCTTAATGTCAGCGGCGCTCACTTGATAAGGGGGAATGGAATTAAGGTTATCATTTCGTCGATCTCAAGTCTCACACTCTTAATCACTCACAGTGTATGCATAGACCGCGTACCAGGTCCTCGACGAACTGTGGGAATTCCGCAGATTCGCGATACTGGCCAACCTTCCAGCTGAGCGCAGAGCCGAACTCCTTGAACTGTTCCTTGGTCTCCGGGTTGAAGGCGTCGAGGCCATTGCCGTTTGTTTCGGCGCGCGTCACTCCGAATGTGTCGAGGGCGTGGTTCAGATCCGACTCTTCCTGGACCTTTTGCAGCCGCAGCTTCTCGGCCAATTTCTCCTCGGGTGTGAGGCTGGCCTGCCGTTTCGCTTCCTCCTCCTCTTCAAGCCGCTGTTTCCAGGGGAAATATTGCAATTATTTTGATTCGATTTTCTATGATAAACCGAGTCGGCTGCTTACCGCTTGTTCTTCTAGTTTGGCTTTGAGCGCTTTGCTTGGCTTGGTTTTGACTGGCACATCTGCGTTTGTGGGCTTCTCGTTTTCCTCGTCCTTCTTCTCCTCCTCATCCTCCCAGCTCTCCTACAGCCCCAGAGTGAAACAATCAATGGTGAGTAATCAAAAAGTGTACACGTGTTCAGGCCACAATGAAAGTGAAAACTGATTAACAAAAGCCAAAGCGCACGAAAACAAGTTTCGATTGTTGCTTTCATTGGCCGTTTTTGTTGTTGTTTTGCAGCATTTGCTGGTCGATTTGCTTGTCAAATGATTTACTTGGTATGCGCACCTTCACATCGTCGTCGTCGTCCTCTCCCTCCCACTTGTTTACGGTGCTGGCTGCATTTTGAAGTATGACTTCACTGTCGGCTGCGGATTCTGTGGGGTGCCACATCATGGGGGAAAATGAAAGATAAGTCAAAAATATAGACGGTATGGCTAAAAATACGCATCAAGGTTGGTTGCATGGCACCGAAGCGACCACGTTTATTGTCCACCAGCGACGCCCACGCGTGCCGCCCCCCACTCACCCCAGTCATCGGCCATGGCTGTATGTTTAATGTGTGTCCAATTGGATTTGTGCTTTATTTAGTTGGCACGGTACAATTTACGTTCACACGAACTACGACACCGTTCCAGCAGCGTTTAGTTTTCGGGAATTTTCTAAACAGCGTACAGCGTGAACAGCCAAAAAATAAATACCATTGAATACCATTTCAGTTTCGAGAAATACCATTTAAATACCATACCTTAAAAAACCAGGGCAGTCCGCGATAAAACGAGACTTAACCCACTTAACACCCCTCTATTTAAAAAGATGAGCACCCTTTGTTAAACCGCGGAAAATAATACTCTTTGTAAATGCTCCTTGTAGCTCCATCCTCCTCTTTACTTACAAAACAAAAATGACCACTGACATCTTTCACTTGTAATGCGTAAAATATGTTAAAGTTACATAAATTTAGTGGAAACATTAAATACCCCCCTGGTCAACAATGGGATAACGTACTATTTTATTGATTGAAATCGTATTCCATAATTTTAATATTCAGTTTAATATTACTAGCTAGTTGGGATTCTCAGCCCTAAAAAAATAATTTTATCCGATAGATACATACATTTTCTACAAGATTAGCTAGTTTTCAGAAGTCCTTTTTATTGAATTTTTTACATAAAAAGCTTCAAACAAAAACGGCCAAAACATAAAACGTACGTGTAATGTATCCCATACAAATCAAATGTAAATTTGCGACGTTCCATACGCTTTCCCGTTAAGAACATGCAGCTCACACCACGAAAAGTGAATTTCTCACGAACGAATAAAGTGACCAAGTCGAAAAATACCATTATATACCAGGAAATAGTACTGTTTGTAATCGGTATACTTACGAATATTTTGAAAATGAGACTGTATATTTCGGTATACTTCTGAACGTCAGTCACACTAAAAATAATAATAATAACTACACTTTCATATTCAGGCAAGTTTACCTAAAAATGTATCTTGCCATTCAAAAGATGTCATTGAAACAATAGCCCCAACAAATTAATAGTGCCAACAGTTTTAGAGAAGCGGCTGTGTGTGTTTCTCCTCACTTCGATGTAGTGGGCCTCTCGATTTGACCGAAACAAAACACGTCAGCGCCGGAGAGCTTCGTTTCCTCTTTGCCGCAGAATCCGCCGCCGATAAAAACAATTCTGAAGAGCAACGAATCTGAAGAACATACACACACACACCGACACGGTGAGATAAGTGATAGAACGAACAATAGCCCCAACAAATAAGAAGCCGCCACAGGCACTCGTCAGCAATTTAAGAACAGAACGAAAACAAAACCGAATTCGAAATGGCCCAAACAAACGTTGATATGGGCGGGCACATGCAGGTGCCGCCGCAGGAAGGTGGTGGCAGGTTCGCCTTTGATCTGAACAGGTAAGACTAAGACCCCTACTATGCATATATTATATACTAAAGGATACATATGTTCTAATGTATATGAAGCCTGCCCAAGCTGCAAAGCTTGCCCTCTCCGCTGGAGCTTATCCAATTGGTCCGCAGCTCCATGCGCCCCTGGACAGTCTTCTTCAACGTGAACAACTTTAAGACGGCCGTCAGCATGCAGCGGTTGACCGGCCGCGTGAAGCGCAATCTCTCCTATTTCCAGAGCAATTACATATTCGTATTTATTGTGCTGATGATCTACTGCCTGTGAGTATCATCTCGTGATCGAGAGCAGCAGCAGTTGTATAAACACTCATTGTGTTCCATTATTACAGCATTACATCGCCGCTTATATTGCTGGTGTTGGCAGGTGCCGCCCTCTTGTGCCACAGGCTGCGTTCTCGCAATACAAACATCACCGTGATGGGCAGCCAGTTGACGCCACGTCAACAGATCATTGCCGTGAATCTGGCGGCGACGCCGTTGCTCTTTCTGGTGGGCGCGGGCGCAGTACTATTCTGGACACTGGGGGCCTCCTGCTTTGTCATAGCCACTCACGCGATATTCTACAACATCGACGCTATTGTGACGGAGGAGAACGAAGGCTTTTTAGCCGAAGTTGTCTGACCTCCAACCACACCACATGTATCTTGAGAGAATTTTTCGACACACCGAAGCAAAGAATTTGCCGCAAAGGGGCCTATTAGTGGATAATCTGCAATATACGATACACACACACACACACACACAAAACACGTATTTATAACGAATTCTAGTTAAGTTTTCTTAGTCTAACCATCGTTGACTAACAATAAAAAACACACTAACAAACACACACAAGATTCGATGAAGTTTCATAAGACTATATATTCCCGTTTGGCAAATCAAAAGGATTGAGCGCAATCGCAGTAGGAAATAACATTAAAATACATTAAAATCAAAATGATCTCGAAGGGGAGAACTAAAATCGCAGAATGTATAAAAGGGAGAGAGAGTGTGTACAACTAAGTCGAATCTCTGAGAGGTACAGGTAGTTAGAACTAGAACTAGGCTAGGAATGATTTCTCAGTTAGATTTACATAAGTCTTGGTCCTGTCTAGGCGTATGGGGCGGCACTCGCCAGTGTGCTTGTCTCCTGCTCCTCATCGCTGGCCTGCTGGTCGAGCTTCTCGAAGCCGTTGCGATCCCTGTCCAACAGACCGCCCAGCTTGAAGCCCTCCGCCTTCTCCCAGGCATGTCGCCGACTGCGGGCGCCAAACGGCAAGCAACCTGCGAATGTTATAAATACATGATTTTGGATGAGTTTCTGTGCATTAAATGGGTAGATTCACTTAACAGATCATGCATGGGACACATCTCTCTTTCTCTCGCTTGCATTTTGCACTGAAACAAACCAAACAAATAAACGAAAACAGAACACACTTAAATTTAAAAGATATTGCATTGTATATTGTGTACAGGGTATGTCTGTTGTGTTGTATATAATTTTATATAAAAAAAAAAACACCAAAAAGGCAAATTGGGATAAGCATTAAAATACTTGTGCGGGAGGGAATGTGGACGGAAATCAACTTAAAACTAAACGAATTACAAATTATAATTCTCAATTAATATAGTAAGATACAAAGATATATGTATGTATATATATATGCACAAATCGGTTACGAATGAGCACGACAACATAATTCACAACTACATTTAGGACACGGAGCGATGTGTGATTAGGATTAGGATACTGAGATTGTTAGCACAGACTCTGGTTGGATGCAGTTAGCTTGCGGTACACCAGATCGCTGGCGGGGGCAGCGTTGTTGATGGCTTGATTACCTCGTTTCCGCCGCCTGGCCATGAGCAGAGCCAGCGCAAAAGTGGAGCCGGCAAATATCAGCATTAGCGAGGCCACCAGCACGGCCTTGCCACTGGGATGGTGTGTCGTCGCCTGGCTTGGGTCGACTCCAGCCGCCGGTGCCTCGGCAGGCACACCACCTCTGCTTTGGCCCTCCTTTGTGGCCGACAGTGACATGGGTTTGGCCAGGGATTTGTGCAAGAACTTGTGGATACGCATGGGATTCAGTTCGGCCACATAGATCTCATTGCCATCGGCTGTTACGGCCACGTCGTGGGGATTCTTGAATTCCAAATTGTTTGGCCCAAATTTGGAGACTAATTGCCTGTTCCTCATGCTCATCACAAAGCCATGGACTTCGCTATAATGATCCGGATGAATGCCCAACTCTGCACTGGGGCCATTGACAATGACCAGTTCTCCACCTGAAAGAGGAAAAGGGGATTGTAAATGATTTCTCTTGGAGCCTGGCGTGTCCAAACGATTAGACCCACCTGCTGCCGGAGTATAGGCCATGCTGAACAGTCGATCGCCAATCAGTTGATTGTGGTACTGCGAGTGGAAGGTGCCGTTGCACGAGTGGAAGCACTGCACCCGTCCGTTCTCCCGGTCGGCAGCACACAGCAGCTCCAGCTCTGGGACCAGAGTCAGGGCGTGCGGAACGGCAAAGTAATTCTGAGGTGCCACATCATAGGAGACGCCGGAAAAGGAGTTCTGACCCCATGACAGTATCAGCTCGCCCGCCCTGGAGTACTTGAGGATGCGGGCATTGCAGTAGCCATCCGCTACAAAGAAGTCTCCGTTGTCCAAGATGGCCACAGAGGTGGGCTTGCAGAACTTCTTGCCGGAGCCCGGCTGGAATGCCTCACCGAGCGTCAGCAGTGGCTTGTTGCCAGCGCCGCGTGGCGCAAATTTGAACACCTGATGCATTGCCACATCTGTCAGCCAGACGTTGTCCTCGGGATCCACGGTCAGGCCGTGGGGCATGTAAAAGCTGCACGTAACAAAACATTTGTTGAAAGTCCGGGTGCATGGCAATAATTTAGAGCTTACAAGTTTTTGCCCCAATCGTATTGCACGCGGCCGGTGGCAGGCTCCAAGGCCAGAACAGTGCTCTCCCGAATGGGCCCGCGGTACTTCTCCCGAAACTGATTGCCATTGTCGAAGGTGTCCTGGCCCCAGATGCGGTCCACCCGATGGAAGATGACTACATTGCCGGCCTTGTCGAAGCTCACGGCTGTCACAGCGCCCAGCTTCACATTGTTCGCTGGCCAGGCATTCTGGTATATATAGGCTGTGCGAAAGGGTTAGCATGGATACTCTATATGGATGGAGAATGCAGTGCCACTTACTGGTATTTAGTTTGGCTAACTCAGTCTTAATGTCGGGTTTGCCCTGCTTGGAGCGTTGTGGCCAATTGATTTGCGTGGCTCCAGCTCCTTTCAGGATCTGCTGCAGTCTCTCGTTGTTGTTGCTGCTGGCGTTGGTGCCGATGTCAATGCTTTGCAGATAACGGGGCGAACTTTGACTCTGCGAAAGGGGTTTTGAGATTAGCCAGGTATGCAAATAATCAGATGGTGATCACAATCACATGTACATATGCCACGGGAGCACTTCCACAGCACCCACACACAGTACACACGTACACAGCCAGACAGCCGACACCAACACTCATACACCGTACAATCAATTGAAACCATATGCTGCCTATTTTCCGCACTTTGGATGCCACTACTTGCCAACATTTCATGGATTCATGGAATACACAAAGAATGAATTACCTCGGAGTACGTCTGTTGCAGGCAAATGGCCAGCAGGAAGACTACGCTGCTCCAGCGTTCCAGCGTTCCGTCGATGGAATGCATTGCGAGTGTTAACTAAGTGACTTGCGTGCCAGAGATCTCGGGTCCTTCTCGTCTAGTGAGATAGGGGGTGGGTGGTAGTTCGATCTCAGAAAAAATATCCGTGGAAACAATGAATGTAATTACATTTTTTCTGTTGAATGAGATTCAGCTGTTCGGCACACGTTAGGGTATTGCTTGCGCCCTTGCTCTGGTCACACTTTGCTGTTTTCGCAAAGATTTGTTTATAAAAAATTAGACAATTTTTTGTTTTCAAGAGACGGAAAATAGATAATCGAAAAATGTCCACCTCCGATGTGGATAAAAGCATCGAGTTGATTACCAAGACGGAGGAGTTGGCCGACAAGATATTGGTCAATAAGCACGAGCTGACGGTTATGGACAAACGCCGCCAAGAGACGCGGGAGGCACTGCGTCTCGTGGAGAAGACAGAGGAAAAGAAGGTCTGGATCACCATTGGCAGCATGCTGGTGAAGATGCCCAAGGACAAGGCAGTGGAGCTGCTCAAGAAGGGTATGTAATGCAGACACTCCTTTGGTTTAATTTAATGTAATGATTACTGCAGATCAGCAGCAGATTGAAAAGGAGATAAATCTAATTTACTCGGATCAAAAGATTCTGGTAAACAAGCATCGTGACCTGGAGTTCAAGTCGCCATTTTCGGGCACGAACATCAAGGCACTGGACCGACATGAATTTAATGCATTGAAAGCTAATCTTCACTTGTAATTTAACAAATTAAATTAAGTAAAAATTAAGAGTGCTACAGCACACAGTTATGTTTTTACCATAATTTACGATTGGTACTTTCCAGGAGTGGTCCCAATTCAATTTTGTGGAATTTTTTGTAACAAATTCAATTTTTTTTTTGCGCGCTAATAACAGAATAGAAAATACCAAACAAGAGAATTCACTGAAAAATCCACCTAGAAAATGTATAGTGGCGAGTAGTTACCGTGTAGGTACCATGTAAAAATGGGACATTTTTAGTACCTTCTTTGTTTAAATCTTATTTAATCCAATAAGTCCTTAAAATAAACCAGATTGTAGAAAATTTATTCATATATCTGATAAAGTCATATTTACAGTTGTTAAAGTCCTAACTAGCTAGCTATTTAATATTAAATCGAATATAAAAATTGATGAATATGATTTGCCTTGGTATATTTACGGTATTTTATAAAAAAAGAAGGTATATTTGGGTATATTGTTGAGGGTCAGACAAAATTCCTCAGCAATTTTGAAAGCTTGCTAGTTTGGTCATCACTGTTATCGTTTTGTTGTTGTCCAGCGTTCCGTCGTCTTGTTGTCTCTCTGGTGTTGATCAAAAATTCCAGTTGATTAAATTGATTAGGTTTGAAAACGCATAAATATTCGACAGCCAGTTTTTAGTACAGTGAACTTTCGTTGAGTGGGGAAAATAAGCCCGAAATTGAACCACAATTTTCATAACTTGCGAAAACGTGCGCTTACGTCGTGAGTGTGAGAGAGTGTGTGTGGTGAATTCTCCCACATACCCCCCAGTGCCCCCACCAACCTCCCCCGCCACCCACGGTTTGTTCAGCGCGCAAAAACGTAAATTTTACTGCAAATAAATTGCTTTGCTCTTATCTCGAGGCGCGCGCGCTCGCATGATGAGTATGAGTGTGTGTGTGTCTGCGAGGGAATGTTGTTAATTAATTTACAAAAGTCGGTCCTGCAGCAGCCCTCAGTGCAAGATCCCCCCATATCTATCTGTATGTGTTGTTGACAAAAAGCGTTGGGAAACGAAGGGCGCCCCAATCGAAAGTGTGACCTTACGGCAATAACAACATAGCAACCGTTGCAGTTCGATTGCATGCGGGGCAGCCACCCAACCGCCCGACCTCTCCCCCCAGCTTCTGGCTTAGAAAACGAAAGTAAAGTTATTTTTCATGTACAAAGTAAACACTCTCTGTCGGTATCGGTACGCCAAGAGAGAGAGGAAAACGGAAAGAGCGTGGAAACAAGAGAGCGTCAGGCCAGAGAGGGAGGGACTTGAACACTTGGCCTTGAACTTGTGCGGACGGTAAGTTGAATTCATTTTTTTCCCCTCGTCTTCTTCGTCTTCTTTTTGGCTTGCATTTCTTGTAAGTTGTGTGAGACAGAGAGAGCTATACAACACGTTGCAGTGTATTTGTGATAGTGTTTTTCCGCTTCCCCCCGCCGCCCGCTGGTGACTTTCTCCTGCCCTATTTCTTATACTGTAAGCTTAATAGATTTGTTGTTGATTTATCCAAATGCAGCATAGAACTAAGTGGATGTCGCTGTCGTTGTCTTTGTCCTCCCCCCCCCCCATTCTACACCCGCTCTTCTGTTATTGCGCTCTCTCCTCTTGATGAGCTTCAATGAGCGACGACAATTGATAGCTGGACTGAAGTCCCGGGCATTGCCTCCCCATTCGCATTTCCTCTCCAGCCCTTGCACAAAACACACACTGAGAGAAACCAGAATTAGATAATATGTATGGATATTACTTCATTAAAATGGGATTAAAAAATTCCCCGCAAAATATCGTGCAACAAATCTGGGGAGTTTTCGATTCCGTTAATTTATTTTAATTGAATTATTTCCATGCAAAAGATTCAGTGTAACATTTCCATAATGCATGTGGAAAATCTTTTTTCCTTGTGATAATTACTTTTACCCAATCATCAAGTTTTTAAATGGAATTCATCATTTTGCGATGTTAATATATAGTTGTAATAATGCATGGAAATATTTCCTAGCATTTCGGCTCTAATTTTTATGGGTATATGCAATGCGTGGAAGTCTTAACAGTAAAAGATGTAAGATCAGTAAGGCAATGTGAAAGACACAGCTGCAATTTGTTATATAGTACTGAAACTCTAGCTAGCATTTTTCTTGAGCTCCCAAGCAGTTCATAAATACTGAGAGCGTCATATTATTTCCCCATTTGAGGCTTTTGATCCATGGCGTGGGCAAGCTATTCACGGGAACATCCCAAGTGGCAGTACTGCCTCCTTGAACTTGTCATCCATTTGGCTGCCGTTGCAGTGCAGCCCATAAAACAACCCAACCCTAATTATAGGGTAACTAAACTTCGCTTAGCTGAAAATTTCCCATTTCCATCGTTTTTTTTTTCGCCACAAAATAATTGTTCAATAAGCTTTACAAGCGACCGCAGCAACAACAAAAACAAACATAAATAAAACAAGTTTTAGCAGTACACGAAATATTTTGAATTGTCGTTGCTGGTTTCTGGTTCTATTATCTCATGAATGTACATATGTATGTATTTATGTGAGCTCTAATATAATTTGTAAAAATATGCGAATTAATGTTGAGGGGGAAACAAGTTTCTCACTTGTTCGATTCGTATTTAAAATTTCTAAGAATTCGTACATATATTTTGGAAGATTCAAGATTAGGTAACAACAAAATGGAATGCAGAAAGGAGAAAAGAAATGGCATTACTATGACACCTAAAAATTGCATGCTAAAAATTCTATCATCTGATTCAAACTTTGTTGCCAAAGTATAAACCTTATCGATGTGGTTTGTACTGTTATCCTTTACCATTTTCAGTCGTTTTCTTCAGGAATTAATATATTGGTGATCAGTTCCATAGTAGTACAATTTCTGGAAGTCAAAAAGGGTATGTCTGTTGCTAGGGTATGTAAAGCTTCGTCTTATTTTCATTGTGTCGTTTCTCCTATGGCATGTTGTTGTTTATGTTGTTGCACATTAAGGATCTCTCCTGTACGGGCAACTGCTATTGAGGAATTTTCATTTTCATTTTTTTTTTTTAGTAAAATATTGTCGGCCAGTCCTGATTAATTATGGCTTGTCCACTGGTGCTGCATGCTGCCGTTGTCGTTCAAAATGCTCAACTAGGCGTCGTCTCTTGTCTTTAATATATACTATATATCTGTGTGTGTGTGTGTGTGTGTATAAGGGGGGCGGGGCCGGCTTGCAGTCCGGTTTGGGCCTGGCCGTTGCAAGTGCAGCGCCTATGCAGCTTAATGAATCCGTGTGGCTGTTGTTCCGCGTTGATTTTGATATTGCAATTTGTTGTTAATATTTCAGGCACGTTGCAGTTTTTCCACAATTCTCTTTGTTGTTGTTCTCCGGGTTTTGCATTAATTTGTGGCAAAACTTTTCCATCTTGTGCGAACGAGCACATGTTTTTTGGGTTTCCTCTTTTTATTTTCTGTTTGTCGTTGGTCAATATTGTGTTTAGAAATTTATTATTTAATAATATTAATTATATTTGCTTGCACCTCTGCGAATGAATGCCAGCTGATCTGTCAGCTGACAGAGAGAGAGAGAGAGAGCGGATGAGAATAGGAGAACAAACAAATTTGTTAGACTAACTGTCGGAACGGCATTTTAGGCGGGCATTAAGAGCAGTGGGGCGAGATAAGGATAGGGGTACGGGTTATATCAATATCTGCGCCGCACTTTACACATGCGTCACATACACATACATACATACACACACACACACTCGCGTAGGGAGAGCAAGAAATTCAATAATAAAACGCAGAATATGATAATCAAGCTGTGAAAGAGGAAGAATAAAAATCCACCTCATCAGACTGTTTATCAAAGAGAGTAAAAGAGAGCCCGGTGAGCGGCAGAGTGGGAGAGTACATTTTTTGTGACACACAGACACAAAAAACCGAATTGAGTTAGGAACAGGTCACAGCACTCCCTACAGCCCCCCCACAGCCCACTCCATAGCCCTGCCAACACACAGCTGGGACACTTGTTGATGAGAGAGAGGGAGAGAGAGTGAGAGAGCGCAGTAGCTTTCAGAGCGAACGAAACCCACCACACTGGTGGGGGCATCGATTGTGCTGGACTGTATGAGAGAGAGAGAGAGAGGAGAGGGAAGCTCCTTCGTTTGGCTCTTCCTTTGGCTCTCACTCTCTGCTGCTGCTGCTGCTGCTGGTGCTGCTGCCGCCGCCTGCCCTGTTGTAAAACTTATCAAGGTCGTTGCTTGCCTTGGCGTTTTTGCTGCTTGTTTTTTTTCGCTGCTGTAAGCGGGTTTTTTCTGCCCCAGCCACCGCACTCAGCAGCACCAGCAGCAGCAGGGCCGGCCGCCTGCCCATCATCATCATCCTTTTGGGCTCCAAGTAGGGAAGGGAACAGAAATTCTTTTGCTTTTATGTTATTGGGTTTCTTCATGCTTTCTGCTGTTTCGCATGCCTTTGGCTTGTTGTTTTTGCTATTTCTCCGCCCGCCTTCCTTGCTACGTTGTTGTTGGCTCTTCCTCCTGCTTTTGGTGTCGCTATGCTGCCTGTTTTTATATCCTTTTTTTGAGGGTATTAGAACTTTGAGCAGATATTTGTAACTCATTTAGTCGATCCACTAACATGCGCAAGATCCAGCCACCATATCATACCAAATACCAATGCCAATTTTGTATTTAATTGGAAACTCTGCCAATTATATTCAAGGGGAAAGGGTACCAATAGCTTCGACTCTCTTGTGTTTCAAGTGTCCCCCTCTCTTTGGAGGGTACCTTTTTTATTTTTTGTAGTTGCTGTTGGTATTTAATTTACTTCGTTTACCTTGTCCCAAACGTTTATATTGCGCGTGTTCCTGATCCTTGGGTTTTTCCTCGACTTTTCGCTCCCATGCCCCACAACTACACGTATTTGCCCAATGTAAACAGCTTGAAATGCCACTGGAACTGAAAGGAACTTAACTTGACTAAATTGTTTGAAATTATGTCCGTTCTCTGAGCGCACTCTCTCTCTCTCTCTCTCTGTCTCTGTCTTTCCCCAAAGATGCCACGGGGATTGGCTGGGGGGTAAGGAATTCCCTGTTTGATTTGTTCTTCAGCTTTTAACGGGAAGAAGTAGGGGCAGGAATCTGGGAACACCGTTTCCATAGAGACTGTTTTTTGTATACATTTTTGTATCTTAGATTTCCCTTAATTATATCTTGAACCATTCCCTTTGCAGTGGCGGGACACGTTTCCATATCTACATTCTCATCTTGTAGTACAATTTCGGCCGCTTCTGTCTTGAGGATCCCCCAACAAGTTCCACGAACCTGAGGGTACCTGCCATACCCGTTCTACAGCCGCATAACTAGTGCACCAGTGGCAGTGGCATCCTCCGATAACTAGATTCCAACAGATTATTTGGTCCACAGTGTCGTATACGTCATATATTGAGATCTGCCACTGCCTCTATCTCTCTCTCTCTCTCTCTATCACTCTGCTGCTCTTCATTCCACACTCCACTTAATGCACTTCAGTCCCCCCCCCCCACGAACCTGAGCGCTTTAATGCTACCTGGCCTGGCCGTTTACCTATTTTTAGCCATTTCTAATGAGCGGTGTCTATTTTTAACCACAATTTTTGCTGTTGCTCGTGTTGGGGCTTTCGCCTCGTTTTGGTTTCGTTTTTCATCGACTCGGAGGACGGTCTCTGTCCAGTGGATGGTTGGACGGTCGGTCGGGTGGAGAGTGGGAGCGCGGAGAGTTGAGCGCGTAGAGACCTGTCCAAAGTGGTGGCCACTCGATTGCCGATCTTTAGGCTTTTGGTCTCTGTTTTGGTGTCGCTTTTGCGTCGATGATGGGGCTCTATGGCTTGTCTACCTTTTTTTTTCGCTGCCGCTGCCGCTGCCTCTGCTTATTCTTTTTTTTCTTTGCTTGTCTTCTTTTTGCAAGATCATTATCATCGTTGGGCATTGCAGTTTCGTTTTGAGAGGGGTGTGGGGTGTGGCATGGGATAAGACAGAAGGGAGTAGGGAGAGAGGGGGCGGACTGGACTGTGGAACTGTTTTTGGCCATCGCCTGGTAATTGTCTTTTGATGGCATTGATCACTTGAAACAGACAGGGTCTAGTTGAACGGGTTTTTATTAAGCGGCTGTCAGACTTGGGGCTTGTTTATTAGGGTAGGGTATACGATGGGATAGGTTAGGATAGGTTACACATAGCACGGGCTATGAGTTCATGCCACTGTCACAATAATATGGGTGTTGGGTTAAGATCTTATTTAGAAGTTTATTCTGCTCTTTAATTTAGAGAAAGATTCTTTTTTTTTTGCA